CCATTTTCTTTAAATCTTCCTCGTTGATCACATATTCCGTCCATAGTATTCTCATCATCCTTCTGTAGAACCACATTTCTGTTGCTGCAAGTCTCTTCTTCATCTTTGAGGAAATTGCCCAGCATTCGCTGCTATATATGAGGACTGATATTACATAACAGTTCAATGCATTTTACTTATCTGTCTATATTTCTGAGATGAGGTATTATGTACACTATTTACATTATTCGGACTATTGTTCTCATCTTTGTTGCCATATTTATCACAGCGTTTTGGCCGTTGTACGCTTCGGCATCCTCCAGGTGGTTGGAATGTCGAACTGAACTCTTTCTCTCGCTCACTGGGGTAGACTGTTCTAGTTCCATGTGCCATGTTTAATGGATGTCAGTTATCAGTTATCTCCTGTTAATTCTCCAAGTTCTCCACCGCCTTAATCAGGTATTGAACTCACACACTTTGGGCCCTGTTACTGGATCTAACGCCTTTATCCACTGTGCCTAAAGGACACATGACACAGTTGATAAAAGCGTTAGTTAGATCCAGTGACAGTACCCAAAGAGTGTGAGTGCAATACTCGGTTAAGGCAGTGGGGGACATTCAGAGGGGAATTAACAGAAGATAATTGATAACTGACATCCATTAGACATGGCACGTGGAACTAGAACAGTCTACCCCAGTGAGCGAAATAAAGCGTTCAGTTCGACATTCCAACTACCTGAAGAAGGCCGGAGCGTACAACGGCTGAAACGTTGTGATAAATATGGCAACAAAGATGAGGACAATAGTCCGAATAATGTAAATAGTGCACATTTTAATTACTTATAATTTTACAAGATTAACTGCACGAGAAAAAAAAAGACTGCCATCGTAATTGGAATTTTTGCTGGCTAGGCGACTTTTAGATAACCACAAACTCTCACCTCGGGACAAGTGACCCTGCGAGTTGTGCTTGTTATTTATTTATTTTTTCTTTGCCAAGTTTTTTTCCTTTTATCCAAACCATTGCTAGCACCTCTGTCCTGAATTCATTCTTTTATTTTTGTTTTACATGTTAAAAGCATCATATGAAAGACGACCTGTAAAACTTGTTCGCAAAGTTTATTGAGATCAAATTTCTTGCTAGTTCTTGTTTTATTTTTGCCTTTTTATTACGGGTGGCAGGAGTGAACTTAAAAGGAATTTTAACAAGCAAAACATTAACCCAAATGAGAAAATCTACCCGTACCCGTCCTTACACTCGTCAGCCGGTTACGCTGAAGAGGAAAGAGGAAGATGTAGACAACGTGAATGGGTCTTTTACACGCGTTCCTCATGCAAAGATATTCAGTGTGAGATAAAACATACAGCCACACGGGCCAAGGCACACGCACATACATTGTATACAAACACACAGGTTGATATTAAAAGTAATATTACTAATTGCTTTCTATCAGTGATTTTTATTGCGAGAATGATTATCATGCAGTTGGAATTACTCGGACATCTGAAGTGGAAAGAAAGCTTGGAAATTTTGATACTCGCATGGTTGAAGGTAAGAGAACAGACGAGAACAACACATAACCCCCTACCTAGCGAGCTAGCGTAAATGGACGGCAGAACAGGGTTTAGGAGAAATAACAAAAAGGCAGAATTTATTAAGAGCTACAAAGGACAGGAAATTGGGGAGAGCCATGATCGCCAACTTCCTGAATGGTCACAGCATATAGAAGAAGAATGAACTTGAGTAAATAAATGGTGAAACAAGTTTTAAGGGAGATAACAAAAAGACAAATTTTATTAAGAGCTACAAAGGCCTGGAAATTGTGGAGAACCAAATGGCCAACTTCTTGAATGCACACGGCACATAGAAGAAGAGCTACAAAGGACAGGAAATTGTGGAGGGCCATGATCATTAACGTCAAGAAGAGACACAACATATAGAAGTAGTAAATCGATTACATGTGCCTTTCTTATACCACTCGCTTCATATGGATCTGAGCTCATTTCTCTTTGACTCGTGACCGGGATTGTTTGTTTTATGTCAATTCTAATGGTAATTTTCAAAGCAAATCAGTCCTCCTAAACTCAGGAGGTTGGAGAAACACAGTCTTCCTATAATCGACCGTTTCTCCCCAATTTGATCATTCTAATTTAACCGTAATAACAAAGTTCAGGTCACATCCTGCTTAGAGTGCAAACTCGCTGTAGAACGTTAAAGATCGGACAAATCTTTTTCCCTACAAGATGACACTCCTGATCCTAAGTTCAATTGCAAAAACAGAATCAAGAAAAATGACATAAAACGTTCCGCTCGTAAAGAATCATATTCACTGGCATGATTTTATTTGATATTCACCAAATTCAAATATTGTTTCCGCTTCTGTGTTGATGTGTTGATTTTTTTTAATTAAATTCATAGCTAAAACAAAAATGATATTTTGATCGAATTAATCTGATCTACAATGAAACACTTGTACATTTGTTGTATTCGTATGTTACTTATGTCCTTCTATTACCTATGTTTGTCTTTTACGTATGTCCTGTTACAGATGTCTTTCTATTACGTTTGTCTTGTTACATCTATTCTTATGTTACATATGGCAATCAGTTACGTATGTCCTTCTGTTACACATGTTCTGTTATGTATGACCTGTTATGTGGGTCTGTTATACTTGTCATACTTTGTGAGGTTAATAAAATAAATGAGATAACAGTCAATTTGGCTAATTGTCATTTATTTAATTGATTTTAATATTTCAAGCATCCCCCCCCTGATAACACGACCAGCTTTGACGTGGGAAAGGCTTCACCCGAAAGTCATATCACAGTCTGAGTTCAATGTCTGGTTGATTCTGTTTCTTTCTCTTCGCACTAATGCTCCTGAAGAAGTATGAATCAAGCTTCCCCCAGCTATGGGTTAAATCGAAGGGTAGAAAGCGATCTCTTGCCTTGAGGTGGAAACCAGTCTTTGAGAAAAGAAAACGCTGAATTCAAAACCAGCGCTGTCAGGCTATGTTGCTCTAGACACACCGCTTCTGCTATGGCTGCAGTACATATAGGGAAGTTTATTATTTATTATTAAGAACAAGATTGAATAAGCTGAGGCATACGTCATCAGCATTTTGTTACAATCACTTTCCAAGCCTAAACTAAAAAAAATGTTTCATGCCATATTTTGTCATTAGTTTCAAACTGTTTCTATTAAATAAAAAAAAAGTATTCTCCGATGATTGCGCTGCAAACTGAACCCGAATTTGCACTTTTAACTGCCGAAGCGCCTCACACCAGAAAGCCAGGCAGCTGGTACTCAAGTTGATGTAAGGTGCCAAATTTGGAAAATAGAATTTCGTATTAGTTTACAAGCTCCATTCTGGGATTGATTGATTCGATTTCAACAGCTTATCAACCCGATGCAGATTAATTAAACCCAGAAAATATTTTTAGATTGTAAGATTTTTTTGGTTGGATAGGGGAGATAATGATATCCCCTTGTGCAAATTAATTGAAACAGAACAAATAATTCCGTTATTATTTACTTTTTTCGTATTTTTCCAATGAAACATGACCCAGTGCACATCTTAGTACTTCGTATGTCCATTCCACGAAGCCGTTCCTTGCAGATTGACGACAGGATTGGATTTAAATCAAGAGAGTTTCCGGGCCAGTCTATAGTACTTTGATTTGCTCGCTGGTAAGGCTTGCTAGTGTGTTCGTGCATCGTTACAATTTTCGTACGCTTCCTTGGTGTAATGTCCATTGCAGATAATGGACGTGGGACAACTAATCGACATTCAAGACAATAGTGTCTAGGCGGGATAAAAATCTGATACAATCACGGATGATGCAATATTTTTCAAGACCAAACAAATTTCATCATACAAACTGAAAATGGATTCATATTACTGTACACTCCTGCAAATGAGCATGTCAGAAGAATATTTCTTTTCTCTGATGGAAAAAACCCAAAGACCTATAAACATCTCTTAATTCCTCTTCCTGTCGGTGATTTTGGTCATTACCATTACCATTTCTCAAGTACTATAAGGAGGGATGCGGAAAAGTTCTCATCCCGACCACTTCCAGAAATGTACAAGTATCAGATTTTTGTACAAGGTCTTCATAATCACAGCAAAGAATTTTTAGCTGACCACCGTAAAGAAGAAAAGCATGAAAATGATTACCTAACATGTCTGAAAACATTTCGGAAAAAAAAGTCTGTCTTTGGACAAACTGGTTTGATTTCAAACGCAAATATTGATGCTATCTTTCGACAGCTGATGAATAAAGCCGGATTCCTGTTTTGAAACTTCTCTATGATTTTTAAGTAAACTGAAAAGAGACTGATATTAAATTTTCTTCACTTAGGTAGAAATGATGTTGCTTTTGCAATTAGGACAACATATTTACACTGAGCTGTGTACCCGCAAAGAAGTTTCAGCTGTAAAAACAGGAAGGAATTTCTATGCAACAAACACAGTTCAAAGGCCATATCAATGGCCAGGTGATAGGAAAAAGAGTCCAAAAGATATGGATACGATGCAAACTCGAATAGTACACGAATGTGCGGGAAGAGGTTAGAGGGTTCGGACTGTAAAAAAGTTCCGAATGCTAAAGACTGCTTTGAAAAACAGGATTTGAAATAAAAAAAAAACAACTTTTACCTGTGACCCAAATACCGACAACAGCCAAAAGCAAACATACAGCTATACCACTCTACAAAAATGACTGATGGATAGGTATTGATGGATTTACTGATTCGTTTTTTACGGCTTATCAACCCATTGCAGGTTATCTAAAGCTAGAAAATATTTTTAGTCTGTACGAATTTGAGCGTAGATAATAATAATTTAGTGATACAACTTTTACTAATTAACCCATAGCTGAGGGAGAACAGGTGGATTCATACCTTTCCCAAGGCTATTTGTGCGTAAGTGAATATAATGAACCCAACTGGAATTAGAACTCGGCTCTCTGATTAACAACTACAAGTCATTATCCATTACACCACCCGCACATCCAAGCTTACAGCTCCTGGTATTCCCAAGCGGTTACTCATCTAGGTACTGACCAAACTCGACGTTGCTTAACTTCGGCGATCATACGGGAACCGGTATTTCAGCGATATATGGCTGTACGTCAGATAGATAGATAGTCACTATAAGTACCATGAGTTTTTTTTTTTGCTGTTGTTAATTTTTTTTCAAAATCATAATATAAGCACAATTTCTCTTTTTTACTAATAGTCACCCAACACAAGTCACAAGAGCCACTCAAGATAGAGGGTTACTGTGTAGAGTTCTATTAGCGTAGGAAACAATAAGCGTTAGGAGTACAGAGCTGAAGTAGACTTTAGAAGGAACCGGAAACCCAATGCCAAAAAGGAAACAAGGGATAAACCTCTACTCTTGTTCAAAAGACCGGGGAGGAGTTTATTTATTTATTTCTTCCGTTTCTTTCTCTCTAACTTGGTATATCTAATATATCCATCTCGATTTAAGGCCACCTCTTGATATCAATTTTCAATCGGCGTTTTTTGATTTGTTTTTTATTTTGATTTCAAAATTAACACCAAAATGCAGGAGATAACTCAAGATTATCAGAAATTTGACAAGAATCAGAAAGATCGTTCCAAGAGTTGGTCTCTTCCCTGGAAATAGATTTCGTTATTCTACCTTCCGAGTTTGACGTCAAAGCGCATACTTCGTATAGAACTTGACCTTCCAAAACTTTATTCGCTGCTCTAACTATTGAGCGAAGCCTGCAAGTAAGAAATAACAAGTCTAGTTCTTAGGCAAGTCAAGTGCATATAGCACTGGATTGCGTCGACTCTTTGAAAACATCTCTTTCTTTGGATTCCGATATTAAATAAAAGCCAGGCATGCTTTCAAGCCAGCCGATGACAGAAACGCTCTGTCATTGTAGACAGGTAATCACACACTGGCTGAACTTTTACTCAGCTGTGACAAGCCAACAATGAAAGAGAAAAGCTGAAAGATGCTTCGTAATAGTGAAACTATTTAAGAATGAATGAACAAGCCCGTTCATTATATCGTTTAAAAACACAACCGAAAAACACAGAGAGAGAGGACATTTTTTTTTAATACCCGGAGAGCAAGCTTCATTCAATTTTTGAAATTGTTAAGAATCCTTTTTAAAGGAATTCTACTGCTTGAACGTGACGCTCACAATCTTATCTGTGTGAACGAAAATGTCAAGTCCCAAATGGTTAGTTCAGACATGCTCGGGGTTAGGATTTCAATGAGGGAAGAATTCATTTGTTTCTTTTTATTCAAAATCACCACATAAATCAGATGACGTATTTTCCAACCTTAAAAAAAAAATGTTGCATCATCAACATCATCATCATTATCGTCATCATTGTTGTCGTCGTCCTCATCGTGATCATTATCATCATCATCATCATTATCGTTATCATTGTCGTCGTCATCATCAACATCATCATCATTAGCGTCATCATTATCGTCGTCCATCAACATCATCACCATCAGTAAGTCATTATCATCATCATCATCATTGTCGTCGTCATCATCATCAACATCATCATCATTATCGTCATTATCAACATCATCATCATTATCGTCATCATTGTCGTCGTCATCACCATCATCAAATCATCATTATCGTAATTATCATCATTATCATTATCGTCATCATTATCGTCGTTATCATCATCATCATCATCATTACGTCATTATCATCATCATCATCATCGTCATCATTGTCGTCATCATCTTCAACATCATCACCATCGTCATTATCATCATCATTATCATCATCATTGTCGTCGTCATCATCATCATCATTATCGTCATTATCATCATCATTATCGTCATCATTATCGTCGTCATCACCAACATCATCATTGTCGTCGTCATCATCATTATCGTCATTATCAGCATCATCATCATCATCATCATTATCATCATCATCATTATCGTCATCATTGTCGTCGTCATCATCAACGTCATCACCATCGTCATTATCATCATCATTATCGTCATCATTGTCATCGTCAGCATCATCAACATCATCATCATTATCGTCATCATTGTCGTCGCCGTCATTATCATCATCATCATCCAAACGTGCCGATTGCAAGCATCCCCACGACATTCTCCCGCCGAACTTCACGACTAGCCATCGCACCTGGTATGTCTTCAGGTTGGCATTCTGTATTTCCAGATATTGGTTGACTGTATAGTTTCAAGTGGCAACCAAAGCACGGGTGTGTCCATGTTTTATTGTCCGCAACAGAATGTCACTGATAAGCACATCGACCTTACTTCTCCAAGAATATCCCCCACCCCGTAAAGTATCACAAAGAGACTAAGGCCAGCATTTAACAATCATAGGAAAATAGTTCAATTAAAACGCTTCATATTACATACTCGGGCCCCAACAGAAGATTCTGGATTATCAAAATATTTACGATTTAATTTTGACAATATCCTCATTCAAATCTTTAATTACAGCACAACTTTTATGGCTAGACGAGGTCAGTTCGGAACAACTTCAACCATTCCCTTTAGCTCAAGAACATATATAGTCTGCGCTCGCGAGCGTGGGTGTGTGTGAGAGTGAGAGAGGGAGGGAGGGAAAGATATTATTCTGGAATTTTCTCAGTCCGGCCGATATACTGAAACCTTAAGTGATTAAACATGAGATTTTATTTTGGAGAGAAACGAGTCTTAATTTGTACGAGAACTTTACAGCACACCTCGCATATATATATATATATATATATAACCAATTTATGACTGGTAGGGATAATTCCAAGGAGGATATCAATCCAATGAGAGCTCAATGTAGACTACAGAGCATAATAATCATAATAATCAAAATGAAAACCTTAAAGATTCATTTCGGTTATAATTTATTTCGTAAATATTTTTTTTAATATATTCATCTCTTCAGACCGAAATGTCTTAGTAAAACATTTTATTTTTTTCATTATATATATATATATATATATATATATATATATATATATATATATATGTATGTATGTCAACATCCAGCGGCGACACTGTTTCATTCTTAAACTTATGGTTCTATCCCTGATATTCATCACTTTAACTTATAAATATAGCATACCTTAAATGTATATTTTTATTATATATATATATATTGGACTCTCTTGTCATTTATCGACGTATGAGAGTGAAGCAACTCAGTTCCTAGATACCGGCAGCCAGGCACCAGCACATATGATTTGATTAGAGTGGTGAAGGCTTTCCGATTCCTCAATCCGAGGCGCTATCCAGTCAGTATTCCACCGTATATATATATATATATATATATATATATATATATATATATATATATATATATATATATATAAGACAATAGGAAAACTGTAATAGTTGTCGACGCGTTTCGTCCGATGTGGATTTTTCTCAAGGCAAAAAACGAAATGAATTTATTAAACAAAGTAACTAATAATAACAAAACAAAATGTCCTTAACAACTGGAAGAATTTAGAGAACGCTATTTTCATTTGAATCTACAATAAACTTCACTTTTGAAACTGAAACCAACTACACTCTTCCGTTCCTAGACATCACATTACATAGAAATAATAACGAACTCAATTTTGACGTTTATAGAAAGGCTACAAACAAAAATGATTTGATCAGTTTCTACTCAAACCACTCTTCTAAAATTAAATCTGGAATTATTATAGGTTTCTATCTAAGAGCGTTAAGAATCTGCAGTCCCCAATATTTACCTAAAGAAGATACATACATAGAAAACACATTCAAAAACCTACAATACCCATACCATTTCATTCACAACGCAAGAAGAAAGGCATTCAAAATATACAACTGAAACAAAAATAATAACATAATCCGCAATAATAATTGACATGAAAACAGATACATAATACTACCGACCAACTCTGTCACGTCCACTATCCAGAACAACCTGTCCCATCTAAATAATCTTAAAATAGTCACAAACATTTCCAAAACCATTATGGATATACTTATATCCTCAAACCCTAATAGCAATAATATTTCTGAAGCAGGCATTTATAAAATAAAACTGTTCCTCCCAATATATTGGAGAAACAAGTAGAAATTTTTAAAAACGCATTTATGAGCACAAAAGAGACCTCACAAAAAACAACTTAGCTAATGCACTAGTCATACATAGAAATAAATTCAACCACAATTTTTATTTTAAAAATGCTACACTCATAAAAAAAAGAAAATAACTCACTCAGAAAGAATATCCTCGAGAGTGCCGCCATTGAATATTACCTAAATATTAATCTACGCCGAGGCTTTTTCCCTATTTCACCTTTCTTAACAGAATTACTACTCTCCCAAACAAACGTACAGAACAGCATCAAGAAATCAAAAGAAAATGGTTGAATCCGTCAACACAGCAATAAAAACAATATCCCTACACGTGACAGTAATTGACATAATTTTCAATAAACTCATCTCGTCTTTTGCCTTGAAAAAGTCCACATCGGACGAAACCCGTCGGCAACTATTACATTTTTCCAATTGTCTTTTACATTTACAAATATTGTCTTATTCTACAGGTTAACTCTGAGAAATTTTTCACATATATATATATATTAAAGACATTTTTATGTTTAACGTTCTTTTTATAGATACAAGTATTTATGTAAATGCTCTGTTTATAATAAACAGTATTAAATAACATTTACCGGCCTGAATGTCCGAGAAATTTTCATAGAAAATATTCGTCCTTTGACAGGATTCGAACCTGCATCATATACGGAACCGTTATTTACGCTGACGTGCCTTAATCGACTCGGCCACAAAGGAGCGTTGGCTAGGCAAGGTCGAATTTACTGCTTATAAACTTCAATCTTCCATGAATCTCGTACATTCATAACTGCTCTGGCGTATCAAATGTAAACAAATGACGTCATATATTAAGAAATGGACAAAGTCCGACAATTTATTTATTAAAGACATTTTTATGTTTAACGTTCTTTTTTTATAGATACAAGTATTTAAATAAATGCTCTGTTTATAATAGACAGTATTAAATAACATTTACCGGCCTGAATGTCCGAGACAATTTCATAGACCTTGCCTATCGAACGCTCCTGTGGCCGAGTCGGTTAA